GGGGCTCACTGATGGCTCGTTGCTGCTCTTGATCAGCGGCGAGTCCGCCGAAAGCCGCTTCGGTTGTTCGGGGCCGCCCCGCATTTCTGGCTCGATGACGGAGCTGGACGTTGCGGGAAGCCGGGCCTCTCTAGTGGTCAGGGAGGCCGAACCCGAATTGGCTGCGAGGCGCCCTGGCGTTGGCCAGCAGCATATAGCTGCTTTCAGCTGGCCTCGCGCAGGAGCCATGGTGGAAAGGCAGCAGGGCTTCTTCGACGGCGGCCGAGAGCAGAGCACAGCCAGACGGTCCGATGTCAATGGGTCAATGCCCCCCCAGCACCTCCAGTGTCCGCATCGATGGGGGGGAAGCCGACGCACTCTTCGCGGGCTCGCACTGAAGCGTCACGCACACACACCGCCGACAGCTGCGCGAGCGTAGGCGCAAAGCGTCCTTCGTCTCTCTCTCTCCCGGCAAGCACGGACACTCAAGGTCACACACAGCTCCCTTCGCGGTAGACGAAACGAACACGGGAAAAAAAGTAAAAACAGAGCAAAACGACACTCAACATCTGGCGAAAACATAAAACACAAATAACACTTAATATTAGACAAAAGAAACATAATATACACACGAACACTTAAAAAAAAGAAACACTGGCAGCAGACAGAGCGGGGTCAACTTCTTTACGAGAAACGGCCGTAAAGAAGCTAACCTATACTGAGGCTAGACAGTAAACTGAGGGCCTTCGGTTGCGGAGAAGTCCGCCGTCTGGCGCGAAATCACAAAGGTGACCGCTTCCTCAGATTATACCGGTGCGGGGTCCGAATGCAGTCCGCCGCTCCGGGTGTGCCCGTTGCTTGCGCGAAGTGCCGCAGGGCACTGGCGCAAGCTCGTCAGACCATGACAAAGGGCTTCAGGTCTGCGAGGTGGGCACGGCTGAGTTTTCCCAAAGGGGATCTTTCAGCTAGTACGCGCCACGGACGCTCACTGACAATCGGTTCATAAGACCGGGCGGCTTTCCAACCCTTGGCTCAACCGTTTGTCAGACGTGGCAGGCACGGAATAGCGATAAAACCACGCTTCGTGCCGGGCCAGGTCACAACATCGCTCAGTTTGCAAAAACTTTCGAGCCACTCAGGTGACCGGCCATGGATTCGTCGTGAGAGGATCGCAACAGTGCGGCTCTCAGACTTTTGGGCATAACCACCTTAAACGGGTCGCTGGACTCGTCGTCAGTGGCTATATAGTTCAGCAGGAGCCCGTCATGGTCCAGCAAAAATGAATCCGCCGAGGACTCAGCGACACACGCTGTATCAGCCCCCTAATCGCGCCCGCCGCAGAACAAGCAGCGTAACGGCGCGCCTCTCAAGACGGTTTAACGGCGCCCGCCGCAAAGCAAGCAGCGTATACGGCGCTCCGTCCCTCCGAGACTCGAAACGGATCACTTTGCTGAGCCTTCAGTAGCTCTTCGCTGCTGAAAGCGATTCCCATTCTCCCAAAATGGGGGAGTCTGGTATCGCGCCCACTCAGGACCGCAGCAACCGCCGCGTGCACGGCGTCGCGGGTTCGCTCTCGGCATGGTGGCCTTCGGAAAGTTCCCCCGCTCGGCCGCTACGCAGTGCGCCGCTTACCTGGATAGCAGCCAAGGTCGTCCTCATGGGGACTCCCCCTTTCCGCCGTTGTTTCGCCCCCGACGCTTGCATGTGCTAAGGCACCGCGAGCGGCCGTCGCACCGAAATCCAGGTTCTCGGCAGACAACAGGGGGCACGAGATAGCGCGTCAGCTACCACGTAGGAGTGTATTCACCACAAAAAGGGGGTGACGACACGGGCGAGCGCCGAAGGGCGCCCGTCGATAGAGGCGGTGGCCTCTTGGTGCAACGCGGCATGCCACGAAGCAGACATAACGTTCGGGTAGGGCAAGAGGCCCATTCCGAAGCGACGCGCCATCTCCAAAGGGAGCGGCTAGGCGCTTCGTGTCGTCACCGCAATAGGGGGTGCCGACACGGACGGGTGCAGAAGGGTTCCCGTCAACAGAGGCAATGGCCTCCGTGTGCAACGCGGCATCCGCTAAAAGGGACAGCGGACAAAAGTCCCGCGAAGCAGCCATGTTGCGACGAGCCCGAATCGCGCAGGCGAACTGACTCGCTAAGAGCAGACAAAAGCTAGAGCTTTTGATACCGCGTTGGGCGCCAGTGTGGTGTACACGTATCCCCAAGGAGTACGGCCACCAGCGTGGGTTCGGTCTTAGCGGGCCGCAGGGCACGCGTTAACCGTCGCCGTGGCGGGAAACACGTACTGCTCAACGTCGCAACACTTTATTGTGGCAACGCCGAACGCAGTACGGCCCGTTGCAAAAGGGCGCGGCGGGAAAGCAAGTAGGCTTATCCACGCCACGGGCACAAAGTACTACACAGGGTGCCACGAGCACGTCTCCGCGGTAAAGGTGATCCACGGAGACACCGGGACAAAGGGGGCCCGGTTGTTCGAGCGAGGGCAAAGGCGCTCGCGTTGGCTTCGAAGGGAGACGGGTCGGCGTAGCGAGGCCACGCACTAGGACACCGTACTGCCCTTCGGCCGTGAGTACGCAGCGGGGCAACAAAAGGTGAGCGTTCGCATCGGGCGCGAGGCGCCGTCAGCGAAGTCCGACGAGCCCCGAGCGACGGGGCTCGACGGACGGAAAAGAATGCGTGGCTCACCGTTTGAAGTCCCGGACTGTACTCCCCGCTCCCGACGCAGCGCGCGAAAACCTCTCGGGGGGTCCCCGCGCGCGGCGCCACAGTCAACATCCGCTACCGGGTGAGGGAGTTAAACGTCACTCCGCCCTTCCCAGCGCGGCTGACGGCAAAGGAGGGCAGACATGTCGGGACATGAGAATGGCAGAAAAGGCGGGAAAGCCCGCGCAAAGGCAGCGGGCCAGCCTCAATTCCCACATGTTATAATAATTCGGCTGACGATATTGTCATTTTAAATTAGTTAAATAAATGTGTGTCGTTGTTTCAGGTTTGCTCCGACTGCATCTGCTGTGTCCGTTAACTCCAAGAGCGTGGCGCTCGCTCGCCTTATCGAGACCCCACACTGGCGCCCAACGTGGGGCTCTTGCAGTATTGAACGACAGTTTTCGTGGTTCTGTACAAGCTTTTGTTTGAGCAGGGGTAGAGTTGGCCTAGGTGGACTTCTTTGCAAGCGTCGGCGGTGTGCTTTGTTGAGAGCGAGGAGATCAGTTTTCGTGACGTGTTAGAACTTGTCGGCACGTTGTGTTTTTATTTTCTTGCTGCACGCAAGTGTTTTCTTTTTGTTGCTGTTGTTGGTTTCCCAGATTGTTGAGTTGGAACGAGAGCCATGTGGTCTGCATCCTGGGGAGAGCAAAGCTTAGAGCACATGGATTGTAGGCCAGGCCTGAAGTGAATAAGTAGGAAGCCTTGTGGGTGGTCCGTTTTTCCGTAAATAGCTTCTTCTATCTTTTGGGCTCAGGGAGCCGGGCGTCGTTGCTGTCTGGTATTGCGGCTCGACACCGGGGCATCGTGACGCCGTCCGGGACAATGGTTGCCGATCGCTCGGTGAGCTGTTGTGTGCAGCGAGCGATAGGGCCACTTTACAGAGTGGATGTCTCCTTGCAGCTGCCTCTTCTGCGCCTAGGCTAGGTGCTTGGTGGATGGCGGTTGTTGTCAAGCGATTCATTAGGCCCAAGGCTCTGCGCAGCCACCTGTGACACGTGGCACAACTAGGTGGATTGTGACGTTGAGGTGTTGCACTCTGCTTCCCTTACTTTTTTTTTTTTATCTTGCAATGTACGAGTTAGGAAAAGTCATTGTTATTTTATTTTGCGCTGGGCGTCTCGGCCGCCGCCGATGTATTAGCTAGCAGTATTGACCGATTGTACCACGTGGACGAGCAGCCTGAAGCTCCTTCCCTTTGCCCTACTGCATTGTTCTTTCGAATGTTTTGAATGTACGCGACGGGAGTGAAGTAGCCCGCAGCTGGTAGTCTTCTGCACGTCGTCAACTCCGCTGGCCAGGAATGCAGTCGTGAGGTTGGGCGATGAAGATGCCTGGGACCTGCGCAATTGCCTGCAGTCCGGCGCCCTCAGGAGTGCTGGTCGCAGTCGGGAGATGTGTCGGCTCGAGTGACAATTTGTCACATCGACGGCAATGTTGCTGTTGCGGGGACCTGTACTGAGGTGACGTCGTCAAACAGGACAAGGCAGCAGTGTCGACCGGCGGCGGTGTCGTCGTGCACAGACATTCTTTAGGGACATGTGTTCTCATTTTTCGTTAGAGCTTGTGTAGCTGATTCTTTCGCGTTTTTTTTTTTTTTTTCGGGATATGGTATGACTTAAGACTGACAAAATGTGGGGGTGCTGACACCCCCTGTAAAGTAGTTTGCATTGCGTGACACACGTGTTCTGCGCAAAAGTCGTATTTCAGGGTCACAGCTATTGAGTGGTAGGTGGCGTTGTGTTCGCGAGCGTTGATTGCCACCATCTTTATCATCATGGTTAAAAAAAACGTTAGCGCCAGCGGCGACGCCTGGCGGGAAAGCCTTGGTGGCGGCGCGCAAGAAATAAACTTTTTCTTTGGTGGTGTTTGGCGCGAACGGTTGCCTCCAGCGGTGGGTCTGCCGTGGACGGCACCGTGGGCCGTTTGCGGTGGGCCCACGTGGTGATTCAGGTGTTAGCGACACTGCCTTGTTTGCCATGTTGTTGAGTGTTGTTTAATATTGTGTAATGATGGCTTATAGCGTGTTGATCACGATTGATGTTATAATAATTCAGCTAACTATATCGCCGTTTAAATTAGTTTAAATTTTAGTTTAAATTAAGTTAGTTTTTAAATTAGTTTAAATTAGTTTTAATTAGTTTAAATAAATGTATGTCGTTATTTTGGGTTTGTTCCGACCGCGTCTGCTGTGTTTTTTCTCTCCAAAAGCGTGGCGCTCGCTCGCCATATCGAGGCCCCACAAGCCCAAACGAGACCCTCATAAGGTTAGCAGACCATGAAGAAGTTGCACTGCGTCCTTACCTTAGCAACAGCAGGGCATGTGTCGCGCCGCACAGTCTCGATGCCCTTGGCATCATACTTTGGTTCCTGTTGGTCGGGGCTCTCATAGGAGAAGCCCACGTAGCGCTTCTTGGTCTGTAGTACGCACGGCTGGTACACCTGCACAAGCACACGCACTGCTGACTGCAGCCGAGCAAAGACATGTGAACAAGCACAACGTTGTACCAAGAGGATACGCAAGAGCACTGCTGCACAGGAGTCCAACGTCTTCATAAAAGAGTGCAAGCACTTTCGTAGACCTCAGCAAGTTTCTTGTGCATAAAAAGAAGCAAGCTTGAAGACATTTTATTGAGAATTAAAGTACTGGAGCTGTTGCCATTTGCATCATCATCGGGAGAGCATATTGCAGCAGCCATGAAACTGGACTATATTAAACATGCACATAAGCATAGTTAATTACCTTGAAGTTAATAATACCTCGTGTTCTAACATGAAGCTATGAGAAGTAAAATATCTTCCTACATGAACAATTTTATTATACCAAAGTATAACTCTCAATATAGTGACACTTGATTGAGAGTACAGTATAACTGTACTTAATCAAGAAGTACTCTCAATCAAGTGTCATTCTCCCCATTGAGCCTCCACAGCCCTGAAAATCTGCATAAATGTATAGATCCCAAACAACACCAAACAACACGCCAACTAGAATGAAGAGCTGAAAAGTGGACCCATACCTTTTCAAGCTTCAGGCGCATTGGGCGTGGATTTTGTGCTGTCACTCGGTCGGCAATCTCCTGGCCCAAGCGGAAGGCCTCCTCTCGGGACCGGCCCTCCAGCAGTACAAACAGGCTGCACAGTAAGCATATTATATTTCAGGCAACAGCACTCCCTTCTGTCTGATAGCAAGTAATAATAATTTTTGAGGTTCAACATGCCAATACCACAATTTAATCTATGAGGCATCGCATAATGGGGAACTACACATTAATTACAACCTGTATTTTTTTATGCATACCAAAACTGAAGCACACAGCTGTACTTGCCTATCTATACTCCGCCTCATAAGTCAGACGCAATGCTGTGGAAGCTATGCAAGAAGTTCGGTCAGCACTATATGTCGACAAAAAGCGTGGAGCTCACTCAAACTCACTCAAGAAAGCACATATATACCATACTTTTGCGTGTATAACCTACACCAAAAACCCGAAAATTCGAGTGCATAACCCACACCAAAGACCTGGAAATTTAGGTGCCAAAATGGGGGCGCGAATATTACGCGAACTTTTTCCTATAGTGATGCTTTACAGCAATACGTGTAGTGCCATGAAGTCCTTGAACAGTGCAGCAAAGAATAAGGAAGTGGTTTCCCCAAATTCGTGTTGCTTTGCAAGTAATACGGCAGCTTGCGGATGATTTCGGTTTCGCTTGCTTGCATCGTCGAAGCGTTTAGAGGAACATTTGGGGAGAGGCAATTTGATTGTTCAGTGTAAACCTCAGTGTCCCATTACAAGTATATTTTTTGGACGTTTGTGGCGGCACAGTGACCCTCCACCACCCTCCTCGTGCTCCTACATCACGGACGTCATTTTTACTTTTTAAAAGGGCTTGCTGAAAGGTGGTGCTGTCTAAAAGTAGAAATAAAGAAAAAGCCTTTTTGCAAAGTTCTCTACATCCTGACCCATTCGTCAAGCCTAAGTCAACCTGTTCTGTCACCATAAGTAGCTTCCAGCGGCAGTCCTTCACCGCACAGCCAAAACTGAAGATCATCGCCATCGCCGAGGAATTTGGGAATCGCAAAGCGGGAAGATAGCTCGATGTGGACGAGTGCTGCGTGCAACTGTGGAGAAAAAGAAAGACGGCCTACAAGCCATGCAACACGACCGTAGATCATTTCGCGGCCCCAAGACCGGTGCCTAACCTGAGCTACAGATGCGACTAGTAAAAGTCATCGAAGATGTGAGAAGCAGGGGTCACGCCGTATCCACCAAGATGGCCAAATGGAAGAGCGGCGACTGTAAATGGAGCTAGTCCTACCTCACAGGCTCCTTGCGAGTCACGAATGGCTGCACCGCTTTATGAAGGGCCAAGGGCTCCCAATCAGATGGCGGACTACAATATGTCAGTGTTTGCCGGCATCTTACGAGGAGAAGCTGCTAAGCACCAAAGATATGCAATTGGCTTGAGAAAGCAGCACAATTACATTTTCTCTTAAATCGAGAATGCAAATGAAACTCCTGTTTATTTTCACACGTTGTTGGACACAACGACTGAAAAAACGGGGAGCAGTTTGGTAAGCGTGCTGACCAGCGGGAGCAAGAAACTGCGCTGGCCAACGGCACGAAACTGTGACCGTACGTCATCCTGAAAAGGAAAACTGTTCCGAATATTCCTTAGCCTGCCGGTGTGGTGCTGCATGCACATAAGAACGCATGGATGAACACTGACTTAAAGTGAAGCAAAACGAAGAGGCGAGCGAGTTGGTACTAATCCATAACAACGTAAATGTAGCGCGAAAAAAACAGGGACAAGAAAGGGTACACTACAAAGCGCTTGTGGTGTACCCTTTCTTGTTCGTGTTTTACACGCTACATTTACGTTTTTATGGATCAGTGACTTGTTTGTGGACTAGGTCAAAACGGTATAGGAGAAGAGGCCCGGTGCAATGTTTGCAAAGAGATTCATGCTCGTTTTTGACTCGTTCCACTAGTGACCATCTTTAGAGCAATGTTGCACATATGAGCTATGTTGCTTGAGCAGTAGCTTTTGTACCGCCTTTCCTTCATATCATATATGCGGGCAATACGCGAGAATTTTTTTGTTCTTCTTTGTCGGCAAGCTGAAAGTGTGGATGAGGATTATATGCAGGGGCTGACTACACAGGCGAAAATACGGTATATTTCTCTTAGGGCTCAATAGAACACAGACATTAAAATTTTTGTGACCGGACTCACTCGGACTCAAACTCCCCAGAATGTTGCTCACCTGGACTCGCTCGGACTCACAGCTCCATCAGAGTCTCAGCAAGTCAACAATGTACAACTACGTGCGCCTCGCACGCGGCTTTCATGGACATTGTAAACACTTGTGAGAGCCGAGCAGGAGTATGCACGGGATGTGTCGCCCCGGCCCACAAATGAAACAGCAAAAACCAAAAACCAAAGAGACACTAAGAAATCCAGAACAATGCATTAATCACTGTACAACTGGGTCAGTTTTTTTCTAAAGCGCAAGGTATCTGCATTTCTTATTCAGCCAAAAAATTTAAAAAGGTTGGTAAAATCACAGAACAATTTTTAGGTGAAAACATATCTAATGCGAGAAAGTCCCCGTAATCTCCACATCATTGCACTCAATGTATAGAACAGTTTATAAATATGGCCACCATGGCCGGGAATGGAGCTCACATCTTTAGACATGGCAGTGCCACACCCTCATTCTTAGTATAGCATGGCCAGTACAGTGTTAAACAATTGACGCATGTTCAATGCAATACGACTGTGTGTTCAATGAGACGCCCACACAAGCTGGAGCATCCACATTGCTCAAGAAAGGCTAGACATTAGCCAATCGAGCAATACACATACCAACATTATTTTTTAAAGGGACACTAAAGAAAACTATTAAGTCGACGTTGATTGTTGAAATGGCGGTTCAGAAACCTCGTAGTGTTACTTTTGTGCCAAGAAAGGGCTTATTTTGAAATGAAATCACGGTTTAGTGCTCTGGATCGGGTCAGCGCACTTCAAACTACCCGCCTCAAGAAGCGGACCGACAGGACCGTCTCGCATCACTGCTGCTGTGCCCAACATTGCCCGGCTTTACTCGCTAGCAGTAGCAGACCAAATGCAGCGGGAGCCATAGCAACAACAATGGCCATTGATATATTCCCCACCATTGGCTTCGAGGTTGCAAATGCTTTTGTTTCAGCTGCGCCCCGCTAGATGGCACTACCTGTCCCGTGTAACTACGCAAAATTTTTTTCAACCACTCGCGCCATTCCCCATAGTAAAGTCCAGCGGTTCTTTTTCCTATGAGTCAAACAGAAACGAACAAGTAGCATTTTATTGCATCTCTTGATGCAAGGAAGGTTCTTTATTTAGTGCAGTTAGATTGATTACTAGTGATTGATTGTACGCGATTCGTCTGATGTCATCGGGATCATTTTGAAAATGACCTACTGCAGCGCTTGTGTTCTTGTGCATTTACCTTAATTTTTCAGAAGGAGGGCACTGTTGTTGAAATATTGTCGTTTTAGATGTTGTCATACATTGAGCTATCACTCTAGTGTAAATTATTTGACTTTAGAGTCCCTTTAACAAAAGCACAACATATTGGTATGCTGATCAGTACGTGCTACCTTAAGACCTAGCAAATGGTGCTCCATCAGGTCATCCACGAAGCTTTGGTATTATAAATTCTGCTCAGCCAACCACAGTGAAGAGCATACAATAGAAGGCAGAGCATGTGTATTACTGGTGTGGTGAAATCCCCTCCACTTTTCTTCTGAGAGTGTTTCTGCACAAAGGCTCAACCACTGCAGCTCACAATGAACAAAACAGCACACACATGCCACAGAATGTCTTCGAGCAGAACCTAAAAGGGCTACGAAAATATGTTCCATTTAACAGCAGTTTCAAGTAATGAAAAACATATGTGGAGTTGCAGCTGTCAAATACAAAAACTTCCATGTCTAAAGACACTGCAGAGACACTCCCTCCTTGTCCTTGGTTGTCAATATGCCTGTGCAAAAAGTAAATCTTCAGTTTGAAGCAAATTAAAATAATATATATAATTTATTATAAACCAATATTGTCATATCTGTTATGACCTAACTTACACAGCATTTTTCAAAATTAAGTTTTTTTTTTTGTTTCAAGGAAGATGAAACAACTTTGAATAGTAGCATGATTTGACTTCCTGTAGAATGCAAGCGGTAACCTGCAAATTATGTTCGTTTTAAAATTTACTATACTTAGAGCACATAAAGCAGTGTAACAAGCTTTTAAACTTTAAAGATGACGAACCAATGTGAGGGTATGATGTTCATTTAACCTTCAAGTAAGGCTTCGCGGCAGTGCGGATCACGTTCCCCACCAAAAGTGCTTTCACAGCTTCGAACACCTGCACGACAGTGAAACCACCTTTAGAGAGAAGGGCAGTTACATGCGGATTAATATACACCAATTTGTTCAATTCAAGTACTTCGAAATTTTCAACAATTTCAATTCCAGTCAATACGAATTCAAATACTGTAATATCCCAATAATAGCAATAGTTGAGCTAGTTGGTGGTTCATACTTGGGAAGTAGAAACAGCGCACAAATATAGACGAGGACAGAGGAAGAGACGACACCGCGCTGAACTCGCAACTAAACTTTATTGGAAGATACACGCACATATCTCAAGCATTCGACCCAGTCACGTAGAAAACCAAAGGCGTCTGCGCATCAAAGCAAACAAGGTACGAAACAAGCCTAATCATATTGAACATCAACACGTGTGTGACAACCACTTCCAAGAAGTTGTCCTCTGTTTGCTCCCGCATGCATAAAAGAAGTTCGAGTTTACGTAAGACCTGCTCGTTCTTTCTGGAGAAGAGAAAAAATAGATATGTTCAGTGTAAACCGTGTGTTGTATATATGTTGCCATTGTCATGCGGGGGGGTTTACATAGAACAAACCGGGCGGTGCATTAACGTGAGACTAAAAAAACACTTAACCTCTTCAACGGCCGCTGGCGGGTTGCACCTGCCAGCTCATTGTAGGGAGTGTGGCTGCCAACCTTTGGCAGATAAAGCCACTTGTTTGTTTGGACATCGGGACAAGTGCACCAGGGAAGTGATGGAGGCT